CTTTTGCTTTAGGGACTAGAGGCACATTAAAGTTACTTTGTCACGTTTGAGATAAGCTACACCTCAGAAAATCGGAAAAAACGATTAAGGAGTTAGCAGAAGTGGTTACATAAAAAGCAGGAACTAGACCTAGAAGGTTTGAAAAATACAGCTGCTAAAAATAAATCGCTGAGCAAAAGTGGGAAGTTTTGGGCTGAGGGCCGTGGCCCTGCAGTGATGCTGGGGGCTTTAATTTCACAAAGCCTCCGGTCATCAGCAAGGTCAAGAGCTGGACCGGGCACTCGGCCGACCTCACACGTGTCAGGTCCAAAATCGCCTCTTTGCCAAAGCACAAACACTAACAACTGAGAAAAAAACGGTTGTTGTTGTTTTTTTTTTTTCCTTCTGAAAACAAGAGGCCAGCAGTTGATATGCCCTGGTTTCGTATTACCATAGTCATGATTTCTAAACAACAACGGTTTCGGCAACAGAGCAAAACCAGGCATAGGCAGTTCTTGGTGTGAACGAAGCTTTTCATCTCCGATCATCTCTGCGCATCAGAAACCTCAGCTTGAAATGGTAGCAGGCAGAATTCTTAACCACTCCTCCCAAAAACCAATCTCTTTTTTAAACCCCCCAAACCAAGGGAGGCAGATCTTCATTGAAAAGAAGAAGAAAAGCAGCTCAAAAATGACTGATTTATTTGAACCTTCGGTACCGTGGCGGTTGTTCTTGGGGGCCTGGCTGGGGCGTCCTCCCTTTACACCCCTCTCCAGATACTTGCAGATCTGCCTCAGATCATCATTCCCTGCAGGAACGGCTTCGAGAAATCAAGCAGTGTCCATCCTGGACTTGCTGCCCGTCCCAGGGGGCTGCACCGTGTCCTGGGACTTTGAGCTTCTCCCCTGGAAACACTTCCTGTTTCCTCTGCTAGAATCTTGCGATTTGATCCATATCACATAGGTATTCGAGGAAAAATAAATAGGCAAGCTGGCACAGTAACATCGCTGTTTCCTGCAAACCAGGAAGGCCAGATGCCTTTATTCCCTTCTTGCTCCCCAGGGTGTTGCTCCAAAGGGCCCGAGGTCCCTGGAGACCTGTGGAATCTGTAACAGGTGGCACCTGGTTCACTAGGACCTCCTGAAGCCCACTGTGGCAAGCCCTGGGCTGGAGGGCACCAGGGACATGGGGCAGTATTGGCTGGCATTTGTATGAGTATGCTGGGCCCGCTATTCACAGAGCTGACCCTCGACTGTGCCAGAGGCCAGTGCCATGGGAAGCAGAGTGGTGAGGGCCCCTGGCATGGGGGGGTTTCTCATGGAGGGAGAGGCTGGGCAGAGGCAGGCAGGGGCTCCAGAGACTGGCTGAGGTCACTGTCTCTCCCCGCTGCAAACCCACAGGCTCTAGGGTGCAGGACACTGTCACATTGTCCCCCAGGGCGCCCCTGCCCGTGGCTTTGGTGGCTGCCTGCTCACACTTGCTCTATCTCAGCCTAAACAGTGGACATGGATTGTCCCGCAGTTCTAGAGGCTCAAAGTCCAAGATCAAGGCGCCAGTGCTGTTGGTTTCTTCTGAGGCTTCCCGTTGGCCTGGCGCATCGTCACATGGCTGTTTCTGTGCATAGATCTGTGTCCCAAACTCTTTCAGTGAGGACAGTCATTGACCCTCTGACTTCATTTTAACTCAGTTACCCCTTTAAATATGCTATCTTCAAATACGGTCATATTCTAAGGCACAGGGGTTAGGACTTGAACATATGAACAGTTGTTGGGGGGACACAGCCCTTTGCTTGGATTAAGAAACGGGCTGACAGCAGCTGGTGCCAGGCTGAAGGGGGTGGCCACCATGTCCCCACCATCTTCCAGGGCCACTCCTAGCCCCAGGGCTGGGCTGCAGAGCTGAACACAGGCCTGATGGGGAATGGGCTGCCATTTCTTCCCTGAGAAGGCCCCCACCTGTGATGGATTCCGGGTGGGAGTGCCTTCCAGGCGGAGGGACAAGGCATAGCCGGGAAAGAAGCCCTGGGTTTGGGGGTTCCTGGGGAAGGAGGTGCCACCTGGACGAGACTGGGATGTCATTCCCAAGTGGGGGAAGCCCTCAGGCAGTCTGGGCAGGGTGCTGGGGCCTACCTGTGTTAAGAGCCCACTTTGCTGGGTGGGTTTGGCTCACAGGGAAGGGAGCCAAGCTGGTGGGTAGCCAATAGGGAGACGAGGCTTCTAGGGACGGGAGGGTGGAGGTGAGGGGCCCTCGCCCACCCTCCATCCTGCTCAGGAGCCCCCTCTGCTCCAGTGGACAGCCTGGGGTTCACAGGAGCCTGCGCAGGCCTCACTTGACCACCTCCAGCCAGAGCTGCCTGCCCGTCCCTTGGGCCTTAGGAGAGGGAAGGGGGCAACCCCTGGAGACCCTGCAGCGAGGCCTTGGCTTCCCATTGGCTCATGCCTGGGACCAGGAGTGGCCCTGCATGGGAGGTGGTCTCGAGGTGGGGGTGTGAGGCAGTTCCTCAAGGCCAGTGGAACCAGCCCGGGGGCTGCGGGCTGGGCCAGATCACCCTGCTCTCTGCAGCCCCGGGGAGGTCAGGGGTAGGAGGAGGCTGCAGTAGAGCTGAAGGTGGGAGGGACATCTGGGGATAAAGACAGACACATGGTGACTGCCTTGAGAGGGCAGGCGCTGTCGGAGGGAGAGGGGCCACATTCCTGTCCTGCCCGAGTGGGCTGGGTGCTACCCCTCTAGGGAAGGGTCTCCAGCATGGCTTGCCCACAAGTTTTGGCAAAGATAGTCCGTGTGTGCCCCTTCCAAATCCCAGGGCCCCCTTTGCTAACTGGGCCTTGGGGCTGACAGTGAATTGATTTGAGGCCACAGGAGGAGACTGATACCAGGCCTCGCCCTCCCGCCTTTCTCATCCATGTGAGTCCTAATAGAGCCCAGGACAGCTCTCCCTCCAGCCCCGAGGAGGGGCCTCTTAGATGGACTCACACAGACGGGGAGAGTCTGGAAGGATCTCCTGCAGCCGGTGGCCAGAGGTCAGCCAAGGATGTGACGGTGACCCTGGTGGAACCCTGTGGACAGGTGGGGGCAGGCAGGCCGCAAGGGTGGGCTGTCGGGGAGTTTGTCTCCGAATCCTTCTGTGCAAACTGTGGGAAGGAAGACTTTTTCCTTGAATATGCAAAAAGAAAGCAGCAGTCCTTATGCTGGCCGAGAACTGCCGGTCAAGAGAAAAGTCAATTTCCGTTTCCAGAAGTAGGGCTACAGGCAAGGGGGGGCTACAGGTCAGGTTCTCACTGGCCCACGCTGGGCACAGCGGTGCAGGACACTGAGTGGGAGCAGACTCCTGGGATCCCAGGAATGTCACCTTGTTTGGCGCCCTCCTCCTCATTTCCACTTCACAGATAAGGAAACCGAGGCCAGCTGGGAGGAGGCACTTTCCCTTGCCGAGGCCCAGAGCTAAAGGCAGCAGATGCGGGCTGTAGCCCCGGAGCCCACAGGGACACCTGGGGCCTCAAAAATGAGGCCTGGGATGGCTGATCTGCTGCGGTAACACAGGGAACGGCTTTAGATCTGGGCATGCAGAGGGACCGAAGATGGCCTGTGTGAGCTCGTTCTACCAGATGAGGAAGGCAGGCGTGCCGGGCTCAGGTGGTGCGCGGGGCAGGTGTGGCTGGGAGCCAAGGTGCTCTCTGGAGGTGCAGCCAGAGATCCAAGGTCAACCCTGGAGGGGCAGGCAGTTCCTGGTTTCTTTCTAAACATTAGCCTCGAAACTTCCAGAGTTAACACTGGAATCGCGTTACATGTTATTGAGCCTCCAGTCTGGGGTGCTGCATGGACCACATTGAATGCCCAGGGACCCCGCTGGGCAGATAGAGGGGTGTCAGACAGGAGCATGGGGTCAGCCCAGCTGGCCTGCAAACTGCAGATGCTAGAAGGCCTGGCAGGTGGGACCTCCCGTCACCAAGCAGATCTCAACAGGCCTCTGCTTCTTGGTGGAATGTTCTGGTACATTGGCAGTATGCACTGGGAAAAGCCACCTGTCCTCAGGCCATGTCCCTCACACAGTCTCATTTTCCTCCACTTCTGAACCCTTCTTTCCCACCTCCCTGTCAAGATACGCCTTGCCGGGACTGGGCATCCTGGAGTTCCCTGCTTGGCAGAAGCCCAGAAAGGCCCAGACGAACCCTGCCCCTTGGAGCCGCCAACACCAGAGGGACAGAAGTGGGGGCTAAAAAAGAACTTAAGGCCAAGCGCAGCACTTTGGAAGGCTGAGGCAGGCATATGACTTGAGGCCAGGAGTTTGAGGTTAGCCTGGGCAACATGGCAAAATCCCATCTCTACTAAAAATACAAAAATTAGCCACGCATGGTGGCTCATGCCTGTAGGAGGCTGAGGTGGGAGGATCGCTTGAGCCCTGGAGGCCAAGGCCACAATGAGCCATGATTGCACCACTGCATTTCAGCCCAGGTGACAGAGCGAGACTCTGTCTCAAAGAAAAAAAAGAACTTAAACCTTAGCGTGGCAGAGCTGTGTGCAGACCCTCATAACTAACATGCCTAATAACCATACCACCTTGTGAAACTAATCCCTCTTCATTTGTAAGTAACTCTCCCCCACCCCGCCTTTTTTTTTTTTTTTTTAACTGTTAGAAGCTTGCAGTGTATTTTTCTGCTCAGCCATGATTTTTTAAATTAGTGTGTTAATAAATGTGTTGCCATGCTAAATTGAATCTGTTTGAAACGTACCTGCATGCAAACTATTCAAGGGCAACTCAAGTTTTAGCTGCTCTGTGTGTGTTGTGTATGGGAGCCATCTGAAGTGTTTTTCCTGTGTTGTTCACAACCGGTTAAGCCCCTGGGATGAAGCTGATTAAAACTGGGATTCCCCAGGCTATCCCCATCCCGCCTGTTAGCCAAATTCCAAGCTCTTCCCAGAGAAGCGCCCCAGGCTTGTGCCCACTGGCATTCTGCTCTGTCCGGGTGAGTAACTCATATTTCTTTCTTTCTCCTTTTTTTTTTTTCTCCTAAACTTTCCAGGTAAAAGTACACCTGTAAGCCAGCTTGGTTCTGCAGACTTTCCCGAGGCCCCCGATCCATTCCAGCCACTCGGGGCTGACAGCGGCGACCCGTTCCAAAGTAAAAAGGGGTTTGGGGACCCGTTTAGTGGAAAAGACCCATTTGTCCCCTCCTCTGCAGCTAAACCTTCTAAGGCCTCTGCCTCGGGCTTTGCAGACTTCACCTCTGTAAGTTGAGTCCTCTGCCTCCGGGCCACACCCCCTCCTTCCGCTTGCAGCTTCCCTGGGATTTTTGTCTCTTTTTAAAGGCAAACCTCCCAGCTTCTTTAGCCTCTTGGTACCTCACACTCTCTGTCCCTCGCGTTATTTATTCTACACTGCCACTTCTGTAAGAAAAACAGTTTCTCAATAAAAAAAAAAAAGAGCCGCGGTTTTGATGCTCTATCGTAAGGGCACGTTTTCTTCCAGCAGGGAGGCGGGACGTATCTGTCCTTCATGGTAGATTCCTTGTATTATTTCTGTCGCACCGAGGCTGTCGTGTTCACTGGTTTTTGGAAGCCAAGATGTCAAACACTTCCGAAGTATGAAAAAAAGACTGCAAAAGTTACATTAGGGTTCTGCTGTCCCCAAAAAGCCCTTTGTGCACAAGTTCTCATAGTCCCGCCCCGTGCATTTTGTGCCATAAGTACAAATTGAAGGACTTTAGGCAGATCACAGCAGGGAAGAGCATTTTGAAGTTTTTTTTTTTTTTTAAAAAAAGCTTTTAAATGTTGGTTACCAGCTCCAATGAAAAAAGAAATTCAGTCTAGAACGGCCACTCTGAAAGCCAAAACAAAAAGAGCTCAAAAAACCTGTTGAACAAAGTTTAGTGCCTTTTCAGAAGCAAATCCCGGGATTTTGAAAGCCTAGCTTTGTTTTTCTCTGTGTGAAAAATACTCCAGATTGTAACATGCCGTCGCTTCAAGGAGTTTTTAGTAGCGTCCTTGATACATGAAAATCTTGTTCTCTGAAAGCTTCAGGTGTTGTCTGCCCAGAATCGGTTTTATTGTGTGTGACGCACTTGCTTTCTTCCTTTGAGCTTGTTAGTTCCTTCATCATTAGGTGTGAGACGTGTTATTTATAGATGCTCCGACTCCTGGGATGGCTCTTTGAACATAAGCCCTGCCATGCCAATGCACAGAAAGCACCCGATTTGTTTCTGAGCCATCTTGATCTCCACCGTGCACAGCTATCCTATGGCTTATTTATCAATTATTTATTTTAGCGACAGGATCTCGCTATGTTGCCCAGGCTGGACTGCACTGGCGCGATCAGAGCTCACTTGTAACCTCGAATTCCTGGGCTCAGGCAATCCTCCTGTCTTGGCCTCCTGAGTAGCTGGGACGACAGGCGTGCAGCACCACGCAAGGCTGATTTTTAATTTTTTTGGTAGAGATCGGGTCTTGCTGTGTTGCCTGGGCTGGTCTGGACCTCCTGGCCTCAAGCTGTCCTCCCACCTTGAAGTACTGGGGTTACACATGACTGGCCCGTGTGGCTTATTTAGGTCTCCCAAGATCCTGACCTGTTTCTGGCTCTTGGTGACCTGTAAATATTTCACAACTATAGTGAGTTTGATTTTGTTGACCCTAGATGCGCCCTGAGGGTCTATACAAAATGGTGACATTGTTAATAAAAGCCAGAAACAAAACCTGCTTTATCTAGAGTTTCTTGAATAGCCCTTCATTTATTTTCTGGTGGAAAAATATTAAATGCTGATTTAAAGAAAACATAACTCTTCACACATGACTCAGGTACTCTGTCTTGGGTAGGGAAGAGTTAGGTAAGTGGGGTGAACGGCAGCTTGAAGAAATGACTGTTCTCTTTCTGAACTTCATAGTTCTATTTCCTGTGACCCCAACCCCCAAAGGGCTGGTTTTTTCGAAAACATTTAAAAAAAAAAAAAAAAAAAAACCACCCAAGATTTCAAGGTATCATTTGGCTTAGCATTTCTGGTCATTCTAGAACAATTGTTCACTGCAGTTTTAAAACAGCGCCAGCCAGTTTATCACCCTCCCCTCCCGATGGGAGAGCAAATTCCACCCAGGCCTGGGTGCAGCGCTACCGTTTTCTGGTTTTTTTCTCACCTGGTTTTTTGGTTTTTACATTTTCAGAGATGGGTCTCACTCTGTTGCCCAGGCTGGAGTGCAGTGGTGCAATCACAGCTTCACCGCAGCCTTGACCTCCTGGGCTCTAGCAGTCGTCCCGCCTGAGCCTCCCATGTAGCTGGGACCTCAGGCACACACCACCACATCTGGCTAATTTTAAAATGTTCTGGTGGAGACAAGGTCTCACTTTACCACCCAGACTGGTCTTTGAACTCTGGGCTCCAACAATCCTCCTGCCTCGGCCTCCCAAAGCGTTGGGATTACAGGCATGAGCCCCTGCACCCGGCCTGCTTTCTGTTTAAAATCACTTTTCCCACTGCAGATGCCCCGGTTTTTTCCAGAGGAAATGATCAGATAGTGTACTTGAGCCACTCCGAAGGGATGGGGTGAGTGAAGATAGGACCCTTCATTGTTTTTGCTTGTCCCCTTGGGTCATATCATTGTCCAAAATCATCCATAACCAGCCCCCTCTGGGGACTCGAGGCGTCTCTCCATGTTCACGGCATTCGGGGGCTCAGCCGATCAGCCAGTGGGTTCTGGGTCCGCTGGATCTTGAGTATTTGTGCTAACTTAGAAGAGGGCACAGCTGCTTCCTCTGGTTTGGATGATTCCACTTCCCTGAACAAATGGCAAGAGGGCGTCTGACTGCCTGGCAGATTGGCAGCGTGACTCTTTCGGATGTTCTGAGACTGCTGTTCAGGGCACGTTTTCACCTGTGCAGGAGCAGCCCAGTCCACGATGGCAGTCAGGGGGCCCAGGTCACCCGTACCTCACTTGTGGAGGTGGTGCCCCGGCTGGGCCTCTCCAGAACCGTCTAATTTACCAGCCCCAAATTTCCATCAATGGGTTATTTGTGTGTGTGGCTGTTCCCGGGAACCCTCTTCCCTCTCTGGTATTTCTTTAAAAGCAGGCCTTTCTGTCTCAGGCAAATGTGTGTATTAGGAAGTGGCATTTCTAGGTTAGCAGAACGGTTCTTTTGGAAGTTCGAATTAAGAGCAGTGCAAATATCAGATCAGCTAGGCCATGCTTTGAATTAGTGAAGGAGTTGGATGCGATCTCAATGTCAGAGTAAGTGAATGAATAGGAAGTGGCTAGGCGTGTCCTGCACATGGTGGGGTGGAAGTGCCATCAGATGCCTTGGAGTGCCAGTGTCCATTCCTAGTGAGGACAGGTGCCGCGCGCCTCCCCAGGCCGTCCCATCGCCCAGTGTGCTGAGCCGTCTGAACTGCGGATTTCTAAGAGGCTGCCGAAATGAACCACTTATTTGCTTCTGAAAATGAACTGCATCCTGAGTGGGCAGACCTTGGCAAGGGTGGTGTATCCCGCCTCTGCGGTGTCTCGGTTCCATGGTAGTGCCAGAGGGGAAGCAGAAATCAGAGCCGGTGTGAATCCCAGCCACTATTGATTTTGCATCAGCCACACCCACAGGCATCCAGATTCTGGCCCATGTGACCCACCCAGGTCTGAGAACTAGAAGGTAGCCCCGTCCAGGGCTAAGACAGCAGACGCAGAGGGAGCCGCGGAATCCCCTTTCCGGAGAGCTCTCGCAGACCTCACAGCTCAGCATGCCTCCTCAGTGCATGCTTGCAAGTCTCCGTAGTGGATTCGTGAGCTGGCCTTGAACCCGTCAACTCGGAAGGCACCGGGAACTTTCCTACTGAAAGTTTCATTTGGAAACACAGATCCCTCAAGCAGAAGGCGCTTCAGTGACACTCTGTGACACGGGGGTTCAGCGGGGTCAAAGAAGACCAGGGGCCTGTGGTTCAGACCCAGCAGGACGGTCACTTGGCCGTTCCAGGCTTTGATTTGGATCCGGGCGAACATTACCATCAGCTCTCACCCACCCTGTCCTCAAGGCTAGTGGAGGGTGAGGTCCCCGTCAGCTGCGCTGTCTCCCTCCCACTGTTGTCAGCAGCACCATGGAATAATTTCCACCTGCACTTGTTTTTTCCTTGTTTTTCTCCCCATGAGGTGTTGGAAAATTCCCCAAAGTGGGGTGGAGGGGGGATGCTTATCTGTGCCCATGGCGGTGACACAATGGCAGGAAGGGAGTCTGACCTGGAGACTCATCAGACCCCCAAGTGTTTAGCTGGGGAGTGCCTCTGTAAGAAGGCAAGACTCAGCCCTTCTTCTGAGAGATGTCTTTCCTTGATACTGACACTCCGCCTGTCCCCCATCTGGGTCCTGAGGCCAGCTAGAGGGAGGCCTCCAGGGCTCCGCATCCTCCTCACTGCCACATCTGCCTCCCAACCAGGTTTCTTGCATCCACCCGCTCCTGCACCTGGCCCATTCCCCCCAGCCCTGCCATCTGGCCCTCGTCTCTCCCAAGCCCCACTTATGCCACCATCAAGCCATGAAATATCCAGATGCCGCCAATCTGATCACCCAACTCACTCACCCACGGAGCCTCCACAGGGAAATCCCAGCTCCTTTCTGGGGCCCATAAGCCCCTCCTCTGTCTGGCTTATCCCACCCCATGCTTTGTCCTGGCAACCCCAAGGTCGGGCACTGAGCCTCACACCCCGAACCTCATGGGGACGCATCCTCCCTGTCAGTTTCAGCCGGTATCCCACCCTCCGCTGGCCTGGGGGAAAAAAGTGTAGAGTGTGAGCCACCCCTTCCCTGGCCTCAGCGTCCCCAGCTGTCAGAGGGATGGGATGACAGCGGGCCCACCCCCAGGTTGTCACACAGACATGGTGCTGCGTGTGGTGGAGAGGCCGTAAGTGTTCCTGTGTGCTTCCTTCCCCACCCTCCCGGGGGAGTCTGCAGGGCCCTCCTCAAGAGCCTGGGTCCTGGATTGTACTGGGATTGTTTGTATATTTCTGCTCCCAAGGGTGCCTGGGGAAGAGCCACAGCGTGTGTTATCTTTGGTGTTACTCCAGCGTTTAGCAGAGAGCTGGTCAGAGGCAGTGCATCGCAGAGAGATGTTAATAAGGGAATCCTTTTAGTCCCTAAGCGGTAGCAGCTTTCCTGAGGGGGCCGATGATGCCAGTGACCTCTCGGACGTCTGGGACATGGGGACCCACCCTGGGGGAGGAGCTTGTGGGACATGGCTTTTCTTTTCATAACTAAAGTGGTTTGAGTTGTTTGAAATCACCTAGCTCAGCATCAAGATGCTTTTCTCCCTTTTTTAAGTTCTTATTTTAATGGAATATTTTAGAAAAACACCCCACGGATAAAAACTTGACTAAATGGCAGTGTAAATGCCACAGCTTTTGTCAATGTTCTGGGAGAAATTGACCCTCAGAGCTGGGCGCAGTGGCTCACGCCTGTAATCCCAGCACTTTGGGAGGCCGAGGCGGGTGGATCACAAGGTCAGGAGTTCAACACCAGCCTGACCAACATGGTGAAACCCTGTCTCTACTAAAAATACAAAAATTGGCCAGGCGTGGTGGCTCAAGCCTGTAAACCCAGCACTTTGGGAGGCCGAGGCGGGCAGATCACGAGGTCAGGAGCTCGAGACCATCCTGGCTAACATGGTGAAACCCCGTCTCTATAAAAAATACAAAAAAATTAGCTGGGCATGGTGGCGCATGCCTGTATTCCCAGCTACTTGGGAGGCTGAGGCAGGAGAATGGCGGGAACCTGGGAGGCGGAGCTCGCAGTGAGCCGAGATTGCTCCGTTGCACTCCGGCCTGGGTAACAGAGCGAGACTCCATCCCAAAACAAAACAAAACAAAAATTAGCCGGGCATGGTAGCACACCCCTGTAATCCCAGCTACTCAGGAGGCTGAGGCAGGAGAATCCCTTGAACCCGGGAGGCGGAGGTTGCAGTGAGCTGAGATCGTGCCACCACCGCACTCCAGCCTGGCAACACAGCGAGACTCTGTCTCAAAAAAAAAAAGGGAAAAGAAAAGGACCCTTAGAGGGTCTCAGCGCTCTCTGGAGCATGGCCGGAGGTAGAAATACCGCGTTCCCAGAGTGCAGAATTGTCTGCACCGCGGGGCTTTAGAGCCATGTGCACTCGAACTTCCCCATCTTTGCACCTCTTGGCCACCAGCATCAAGGGCCTATCCTCACTTCTCTACATGGGGCAGGGTGGCTGGTTTTTCTGAGGCCCAGAGATCACGGTTAAGGTCACACTCAATCATGCATCCTGTCCTCTCTGCCTTCCAGATGGGGGTCCTGAGCCAGGCTTGCACGCCCACTGGGCCCAGCCAAGACACGCTTTTCCCCTGCACATCGGACCCTCCGCCGGGTGGTGGGCAGGACCCTGTCCCCGTCCCACGCATTCCCTGCCTCCCTCCAGCCTGCAGGTCCCAGCCCCTGGGCCACATCACCCACTCTCCGTTTTTCCTTTGCAGTTTGGCAATGAGGAGCAGCAGCTGGCGTGGGCCAAGCGGGAGAGCGAGAAGGCGGAACAGGAGAGGCTGGCGCGGCTGCGGCGGCAGGAGCAGGAGGACCTGGAACTGGCCATCGCGCTCAGCAAGGCTGACATGCCTGCCGCCTAGGCGAGGGCCGTGTGCAGGCGGGACAGGGCACGGGCAGGTTCCAGAGAGGGGGCAGTTGCAGATGTCTATATATACACACACACACCCCGTCGCCACCGCACTCCAAGGACCGGGACTCGGGAGCTCGTTCAGGGTGAGCAGACTGGCTGCAAGACCTGGAAAGGTCACATCTCCTGGGGAAGCCCTTGTGGAGGCCTTGGCCACCGCTTCTACAGGTCCGTCTCTCCACTGTGCCATCCCCCCCGGGGCTGACCGCCTCCCGCTCTTGCTCTGAGAACGAACACACCGCCGGTCAGTCGAGGAGAGGAAGCACCCAGGGCCTCCCCGCCTCCTCCCTACTCATAGCTGCAGACATCCCCGCCCGCCCTCCCACGCATCAGTCAGACACTCCCCCAGTGGTGTATGCATTCGTTGTATAAAATGAAGTTTGAATGATTAATATAAAATATTTTAATACAAAACAAGAGAAGCTTCTTTAATCTCTGTAAACATTGTTTTCCCTGCATGGGTATCTGGAAGCAGATCAACCTTGCAAAAATAGGTGGAGCATTGTTCTTTAAATCTTAAGTTTTTACTTTTTTTGTATGTAATTTTTTTTTTTTTTTAAATTTAAAGAGATGGGATCTTGCCATGTTGCCCAGGCTGGTCTCAAACTCCTTGACTTAAACAGTTCTCCTGTCTCAGCCTCCCAAAGTGCTGGGATTACAGCCGTGAGCCACCAAGTCCTGCCCATTTTTGTGTTTTAACCAACTTTATTTTTTAGGACAGTTTTAAATTTGCAGAAAAATCACAAAGAAGGTACAAAGAGTTCCCATAAGCCCCTTAGACAATTTACCCTTAAAATTTTTTTTGAGACAGGGTCTGAGCTCTGTCACCCAGGATGAAGTGCAGTGGTGTGATCTCAGCTCACTGCAACCTCTGCCCGCCCTCCACCACCAGGGCTCAAGTGATCCTCCCACTTCAGCCTCCCAAAGGGCTGGGATTACAGACGTGTGCCACTGTGCCTGGCCAGTTTTAAATTTGCAGAAAGATCGCAAAGAGAATACGAAGAGTTCCCATAAGCCCCTTGGAGAATTTAGCTTATTTTTAACATCTTACATTACACATTACTTACATCCCGATTAATGAACCAATACGAATTCATTATTATTAACTAGAGTCCACACTTTATTCAGAATTGCTCTGTTTTTTGCCCAGGTGAGGTGGCTCATGCCTGTAATCCCAGCACTTTGGGAAGCCGAGGTCGGGGGATCACCTGAGGTCAGGAGTTCAAGACCAGCCTGGCCAACATGGTGAAACTGTCTCTACTTAAAAAACAAAAATTAGCTGGGCGTGGTGGTGCACACCTGTAATTCCAGCTACTCGAGAGGCTGAGGCAGGAGAATCACTTGAACTCAGGAGGTGGAGTTGCAGTGAGCCAATGTCGCGCCATTGCGCTCCAGCCTGGGCGACAAGAAAGACACTGTCTTAAAAAAAAAAAAAATTGCAGATCGGGCACGGTGGCTCGCACCTGTAATCCTAGCACTTTGGGAGGCCGAGGTGGGTGAATCATTTGAGGTCAGGAGTTCAAGACCAGCCTGGCCAACGTGGTGAAACCCCATCTCTACTAAAAATATAAAAAATTTAGCTGTGTGGTAGTGGAGTATGCCTGTAATCACAGCTACTCAGGAGACTGACGCAGGAGTCTCCCTGGGAGAACCTGGGAGGTGGAGGTTGTGGTGAGCCAAGATCGCACCTCTGCACTCCAGTCTGAGCCAAAGAGTAAGCCCCTGTCAAAAAAAAAATCTGTTTTTCCCCTTAATGTCCTTTTTCTGTCCTAGGATGCCCTGTGACATTCAACCCTTACATCTCCTTAGAATTCCCTGGACTGGGTGAAACCCCGTCTCTACTAAAAATACAAAAATTAGCTGGGCGCGGTGGCAGGTGCCTGTAATCCCAGTTACTCGGGAGGCTGAGGCAGGAGAATCACTTGAACCTGGGGGCCGAGGTTGCAGTGAGCCAAGATCACGCCACTGCACTCCAGCCTGGGCGACAAGAGTGAGACTCTTGTCTCAAGAAGAAAAAAAAAAAGAATTCTCCAGGCTGTGTGAGTTTCTCAAATGTTGTGTGTTTTTGATGCTCTTGACAGTTACAAGGAGAACTGGTCAGGCGCTTTGTAGAATGTCCCTCCACTGGGATTTGTCTGATGTTCTTCCCATGACTAGGCGGGGAGCTGGACTTGGGGGAGGAAGACCACAGAGATGAAGTGCCTTGACATCAAATCACATCAAAGATCCATGTCATCAACACAACTTACATGGCTGGTGTTGACCTTGATCCACTGTACATAGATTTATTTTTATTATTTTATTTAATTTTATTTTGGGACAGAGTTTCGCTCTTGTCAGCCAAGCTGGAGCGCAATGGCGCGATCTCAGCTCGCTGCAGCTTCCACCTCCCAAGTTCAAGCAATTCTCCTGCCTCAGCCTCCCGAGTAGCTGGAATTACAGGCATTAGGCAACACACCTGGCTAATTTTTTGTATTTTTAGTAGAGATGGGGTTTTGCCACGTTGGCCAGGCTGGTCTCAAACTCCTGGCCTCAGGTAGATTTATTTTTAAAAAGCAGTTTTTCAACCTCAGTTATTTTGTTACATAGACTCGTCTCAGGGCAGTAATTCATGAGATTGAAAATACAGGGCCCGGCGTGGTGGTTCACACCTGTAATCCCAGCACTCTGGGAAGCCGAGGCGGGTGGATCATGACGTCAGGAGATCGAGACCATTCTGGCCTCGTGAAACCTTGTGTCTACTAAAAATACAAAAATTGACTGGGCGTGGTGGTGGGCGCCTGTAATCCCAGCTACTCAGGAGGCTGGCAGGAGAGTGGCTTGAACCTGGGAGGTGGATGTTGCAATGAACTGACGTCGCGCCCCTGCACTCCAGCCTGGTGACAGAGCAAGACTCTGTCTCAAAGAACCAAACCAAAACAAACAAGCCAGGAGCAGTGACTCATGCCTGTAATCCCAGCACTTTGGGAGGCCAAGGTAGGAGGATAACTTGAGGCCAGGAATTCAAGACCAGCCTGGCCAACATGGTGAAACACCACCTCTACTAAAAATACAAAAAATTAGCCGGGCGTGGTGACAGGCACCTGTAATCCCAGCTACTCAGGAGGCTGAGACAAGAAGGATCGCTTGAACCCAGGGGGCAGAGGTTGCAGTGAGACAAGATCGTGCCACTGCTCTCTAGCCTGGGCAACAGAGCGAGACTCTGTCTCCAAAAACAAAAAAAGAGAAAAAAGAAAATCCTCAGGAAAAGGAAGAGAAAAAATACCGGCCATCCTTTAAGTGGATGTGGATCATCATAAAGGTCTTCCTCATCATCTTCCCATTGAGTAAGCCGAGGAGGAGGAGGAGGAAGGCTTGGTCTAGGGGTGGCAGAGGTGGAAGAAAATCCAGGGACAGGCAGGGCACAGTGACTCACGCCTGTAATTACAGCACTTTGGGAGGCTGAGGCAAGTGGATCACCTGAGGTCAGGAGTTTGAGACCAGCCTGGCCAACATGGTGAAACCCGTCTCACCTGAAAATACAAAAATTAGCTGGGCGTCATGGCAGATGCCTGTAATCCCAGCTACTCGGGAGGCTGAGGCAGGAGAATCACTTGAACCTGGGAGGCGGAGGTGGCAGTGAGCTGAGATCGCGCCACTGCACTCCAGCCTGGGCAACAAGAGCGAGACTCAGGCTCAAAACAAAGAAAATCCGCTTATGACTGAACCCACCGGGTTCAAACCTGTGTTGTTCAAGGGTCATCTGTAAACCATAAACTGAGGTTTATGGTGGATTTGGGCGAATGTAGAGATTCCAGACCTTTGGTAATCCTCCTTTTCCAGGTTACAGACCCTTGAGGGGTCCCTGCTGTCCCGGAGACGAGGGTGTTGGGAGGGGACGCTTCCTTGGTGCCCATGGAATGGACTTGCTTTGTAGATCGGGGGACCTGGTGGGGCCTCATGGGCTTTGTAACTTCTGAGATGCCCCTAATCTCTGCAAAAATGAGCAGCTTCCTGAAAGTGGTCATGGCCGGAGGCAATTCCCAAGACTTCCTTCCTCCTGCAGGAAAACCCAGAGTGAATCTGAAGGTCCCACGCCACGTGCTTCTGCCATGACAGATCCCTTTGGAGAAGGCGCTGAGTCACCTCTCTCCAGGGTAGCCACAGCTTTGGCACCATTTGAAGGAAGGTGAGGCTCACACTCTATATTTGGTTGGGGACTTCACAGTTTTCACAGCGATTCAACTTCCATTATCTTGTTGGAAACTCAAAGCAACCTTGTAGATGAAGAGAGTGGATGTTAGCCCATTTTCCCGATGGGAAAACTGAGACTCATTCCCTGCAGTCATTTGCCCAGAGCTCCGAAACCAGCCAGGGGCGGAGGCTCATTTTGCTGATTTGAGAAAAGAATTGAGGGTTTCTTAGAAAACTTGAGGGTTTCTAGTTTCTTGTTGTCTTCTGCTTATTTGCATATTCACCGTACTCAGAAGAGGCAGGTGGTGATGGCTCTTGATATCCTAGAAATGGAAAACCATGTATTGAATTAGGAGCTCTTACCCAGCAGATGGGATGTTTTTAGGGAAAGCAGTGAACCCCTGAATGCACATTTGCGAGTTTTTTGTTTTTTTGTTTTTTTGTTTTTTTTTTTAATCGGAGTCTTGCTCTGTCTCCAGGCTGGAGTGCAGTGGCGGGATCTCAACTCACTGCAACCTCTACCTCCCAGGTTCAAGTGATTCTCCTGCCTCAGCCTCCCAAGTAGCTGGGACTACAGGCATGCACCACCATGCCTGGCTAATTTTTGTATTTTTATTAGAGATGGGGTTTCACCGTGTTGGCTAGGATGGTCTCGATCTTTTGACCTCGTGATTCACCCGCTTCAGCCTCCCAAAGTGCTGGGATTACAAGCATGAGCCACCGCACCCAGCCCTGGTTTTTGATTGTATGTGGGTTAGCAGATTGTTCATAACTCTTTATCTTTTTCCCCCCCTTTTTTTTAGAGATGGGGGTCTCGCTCTGTCACCCGGGCTGGAGTGCAGTGATGCAATCATAGCCTACTGCAGCCTTGGACTCCTGGGCTCAAACAGTCCTCCTGCCTCAGCCTCCTGAGTAGCTAACCACACCGGCTAATTTTTTTATTTTTATAGAAATAGGGTTTCACTGTGTTGGCCAGGCTGATCTCCAACTCCTGGCCCCAAGTGACCCTCCCGCCTCGGCCTCCCAAAGTGCTGCTGGGATTACAGGTGTGAGCCACTGTGCCCAGCCACCATCTGATTTTTAAAGAGGTCCTCAGACGCCTTAAAAAGTTAGAAGCCAGTCTCAAATCCTATTTCCTTCCTTCCCTGCTACACGCACACACTCCCCTGCTGTGTAAATAATCAACATCAAATCCACGAATCCAACCCCTCTCCCATTGGCGCTCTGTCTCTTCCACGGCA